AGGAAATTACCACCGCAATCTTCGCACAGAGCTGAGCCTTCATGTTTAAGTTGGAATTTTCAGGCGCAGGTTTACACATGGCAAAACATCAGTGGTTTTTGAAGGACGTTGTAACACATTTTGCAATCTGTAAACAGTGCTGAGAAGGAGAGTGAGGCGCTAATATGGACCGCTAGGTGAGGCAAGTGCGGCGGCCAGAGGACCGCAGCGTTTGCTAATTAAAACTAAAGAGATTTATGTTGCTATATAGGGAGAGCGAAAGTGTCCTTATCTGGGACGAGTGTATCGGAGTTAGAATCGCACAGTTGCTGCTTTCTCGCTTGTGCATCCTACGCTTTATCTTCGCCGTTCTTCTTCCCTCTGTAGTATGTAATAGGCACGCCCACGCAGCAGCCCGCAACGTGCAGCGATACACATGCACGGCACGGCACCGTACGCACGCACAAACACAGACACCAATAGCGCGTACGAATCCTTCTACACCACCGCACGCACAGTGCACGGCCCCACGCAGCAACACGGCACGCATACCGTACGAACACTCACAGCACGGACGCCACGCACCAGCGCGTAACGCACATTCACAAACGCACGCGACACAACGCAGATATCGAGTTGCCATACTAGAAAAAGGAATATTTTAGCTGTCGACTGTCTGATGCCGGCAGCTGTACAGCACGCACGCACGCGCGCACGTACACATTGCACACACGCATCAGCAATAACACAATAGCACTTTTTACGATTTCGAAATAGAGATGTCAGTTGCTACTTGCTGAGATGCTCTGGGGATTGGGAAGTGGTACTGATGGAGAAGCTGCTGCGAAATTATGCTCTTTCAGATCCTGCATGTTGCTCAGGGAGACAGGCTGTGCTGCCGACTGAGCGAGGCTGTGAGCGGTCAGTCGCCTCGGGTGTTACGCTGCTCTTCAATTATTTATAACGCGTCGGAGAAAGTCGACGGCCGATTTCGTGTCGGCTGTGAAGAATTAGCGGCACAGCCGCCTGCCGCCCGTGAAGGGCGTGAGCGGTTCATGTGAAAGTGATCGGCTGGTGATCATGAGGCGCGGGATGATAGCAGTGTGTGCGTGCGTTTGTGGAGTGTGCGTACGCGTGTGCGTGCGTCCGTGTGTGAAGTGTTCGTACGCGTATGCGTGCTGTGTTTGTGCGTGCGTACGTGCGTGCGTGCATGTGTATGTGCGTGCGTGCGTGCCTACTACATGTCTACACGAGGGAAGAAGACGGGAAGGAAAGCGTGTGATGCACAGCCGAGGAAAGCAGCAACTGTGCCGATTCTAACCCGTACACTCTCCCAGATAGGACACTTTCGCTGTATATATTATATTGAACAATAAATTTTTTGTTTTAATAGCAGACGTGGTCACTCTGCCGGCACTTGTCACCTAGCGTCCATAATAGCCCCCTCACCTCTCCCTCCAGCATGTACAGTGCAAAATGTGTTACACGTCCTTCAACACTGATGTTTGCCATGTGTAACCTGCGCTGAAATCACTAACCATGAAGCTCAGCTCTGTGAGAGATGGTGGTGTTATGTACAGCATCTACGCTGTTCCCTGCGCGACAGACTAAGGTTGCTCGTTCTTGATAATAAAAGATTCGGGGAGAAAAAACTCGGGGCGGCATCTGCGATGACATATTTTAGCTGTCGACTGTCTGATGCCGGCAGCTGTACAGCACGCACGCACGCGCGCACG